TATTAAAGTTTTGGGTGAATTAATATGGCAGTGAAGTAAGGAAACCACCTACATCCTCCAAATGAAATCCCTGTAATTCATTGTATTAAATGTTTAGAGATGAAAACCAGTCTATCCAAATGAGCACACCGAGAAATGAACTGGCGTGACAATGTTTTCCAGTTGTGGCTAGTGTGGGTCAGGTTGTAATGACGGGTGTGCAGAGGTTTGGCTGGCATAAATAAAAGACATGGTACGCAGATATGAGTACTCATGACATTTTCCCAATCTGGATTTTCTTCCAGGCTTCAGAGGCCGTGAATATGCAGGAGTCAATGATGCCGGCCACTGTGAACGTCCCGCCGATGATAGCGCAAAATTAGCTAACAGTGAGAATTGGTCCCTGAACTAAAGTGTTACCAAGCTTTTTCCATTGTCATGCATAATCAAAGATCGACTCTTTGACGTTACAATAATATATATCATTGAATTAGTAAATAATCACACAGTAATTCACAGCTGCACAGTACTGTGCATTAGTATACTGGGCTGTCAGTGCTCTATACTGAGCACAGAGACACACTGTTTATCCGTGTATGGCATATGGTGCATTCAGCTCATATCGGATAGATCATATTTACGATGAATGCACATGATCACCTCCAAAAAGTTGTAATTACAAAGCAGGAAACTCTCTTTAAACCCTGCGCTTCTGTTTATTATGAAGAACAGCATAAGGTGCTGCTGGAGGAACTCGATCTGTGTTTAGTGCAGCGTTTCCCAAACCTGCTATTATTTATATACTATCATTGTTTTATTATGTATTTCTTTATCAAATTTTGAATTAGCTTTTATTTTTATAATTTCAGTACTGATTTTAATTTTAAGATTTTAAGTCATTTAATCAGTTATTTGAAATGTTTTAAATTAAATTAATTATTCTGTGTCATTTTGTTATGTGCTTTTGTCATTGTTATTAGTTTTTTATATTTCTATATAGTTTTAAATTATTTTTTATTTTAGTTTTAGTAATATTAGTACTCCTACTTAAACTTATTTTGCTTCAGTTAGTTGCCAAGGCAACATTTCTCATTTACATTTAAGTTTTTTTATCTAGTGTTTATACTATATTTCAGCTTTATTCAAGTTTTAATAGTTTTAGCTTTAGTTAATAATAACATTATTCCTAATAGATTGCAAGATATAAACTCTGAATTGCAATATATAAACTGAATTATGAGATATAAACTGAATTATGAGATATAATTCAGTTTATATCTCATAATTCCGTTTATATCTCATAATTCAGAATGTACATCTCATAATTCAGATTTTATATCTCATAATTCAGTTATGTACATTCTGAATTATGAGATATAAACGGAATTATGAGATATAAACTCTGAATTATGAGATATAAATTCTGAATTATGAGATATACATTCTGAATTATGAGATATAAACTCTGAATTATGAGATATAAATTCTGAATGAATTATGATATATAAACTGAATTATGAGATTTTAAAAAATCTGAATTATGAGATATATAATCTGAATTATGAGATAGAAACTCTGAATTGAGAGATATAAAATGTAAGAGATGTACTGCGTTAGGCTAACTGAGACTTGCATATCATTGCTCTCTTGTTGATTTTGATTGCTTCCATTGTCTTCATTTGT